ACTCGGTTTTTGATACCATTAATTTCAGTCTCACTCCTAGCATGTCATAAAAGGTCTTCTCAATCACTATCACTCAATTCACCACTGGAAATTACTGGCTCTGTTTGTAAAGCACTATTAATGGCTTCTTTGGCTTGCTGACGAAGTTCTTTTAAAGTTTTGTTTTCTTGGTCTGACGTTGGAACTTCTTCACCAACTTTCCTTATCACTTTTTTACCTGGTTGATAGTCAATTTGATATCAAACCTGTCCTGAATTACCAAACCACTTATGTTTATATTGTATATCTTTAAAATTAACTACGTATTCTTCCTGGCTTCCTTTATCACCAAGATACTTATCAGGTTCCCTAAATTTAATATACTTTCAGGATTCATTAAAACTTTGCTTATCAGGATGGTCATAGGTAAGTTTACTAAAATATGGTGCTACATAATCATTTAAATTCTTATAATCCTCATTTGTAGGTAGAAATAAAAACATTCACTTATTTCTAAAATGAACATCTCCTGACCGTTCTTTGCCACTTAACTTAAAGCGAAATTCCTCGTTCGCCGCATCTCGGAAATTAGCTCTGCCTTTGAATTTTAGTATTTTTGTATCGCCAGAACCAGTAAAATGGACGGGAACTCATTCTATTTTACTTTCATCTATTTCAATAACTACTCACTTATTTTCAGAAAAATTCTGTAATTGTTGTTGGTAATACTCTTTTTCTTTGTTTTCAAATTCTATGAAATTAATGTTTTGTCCTTTGTAACCAAATCTATTTTTTTTTCACCATAAACAAATGAATGGCAACTAAAAAAATTTTTAATCTTACTTTTCTCTCATCTAGTTTGCTTTCATTCCTCTTTCTTAAATGGGTCATTATCAAAACTGCTAGTATCTTTATACAACACGTCACTTCTATGCAGACTACTTGTGCTTTTTCCTATTCGGGTGATTATTTTTACTGTCATAATTGTCTATTTATATTTATTTTTGGCATTTATATATAATTTTACACTAAATTTTTAAAGAGGGGTCTATTTAGAGTTTTTTTTCTCTTCAGAATTCTGCTTCTTTTCCTCCCTTTCTCTTCTAAGTTTTTCCTTTAAGTCTTTCAATTTTAGGGGTGGTGTTTTCACAGCAGCTTTTAGTGCGGCATCAAAACCTGACTCTTTTATTGTCTCACTATCACTTGGTGCTTTATGTCTACAATGAATACAATAGTTTTTACCACTTTTGTGCTTGTTGATAAAAAACTCATCAACGTAAGACCCACAACCATCACAGACTATTTGTTTGTTATTCATATGCTTAATTTTTTTAACTGATTAATTCCTGATAGGTTAATCGCTTGCCTACTGTTGACGAAAGCATTAAATCGAATCTTTCCTTGTCACTGTAATTCCGAGC